GTAGTAGTAGTAGTAGTAGTAGTAGTAGTACTACTACTACTAGCAGTTGTCGTCGTCGTCGTCGTCGTAGTAGTAGTAGTAGTAGTAGTAGTAGTAGAAATATTTGTAGTAGTGGTAGTGGTGGTAGTAGTAGCAGTAGTAGTAGTAGTAGTTGTTGTTGTCGTAGTAGTCGTAGTAGTAGTAGTCGTAATCGTAGTCGTAGTCGTAGTCGTAATAGTGGTGGTAGTAGTAGTAGTAGTAGGAGGAGGAGGAGGAGGAGGAGGAGGAGGAGGAGGAGGAGGAGGAGGAGGAGGAGGAGAGAGGGGACCGGTGCAAGCAACCGTACGACTCCTTACATTTGCTGCAAACTGTCAAGACGAATGTGCGCAGCGCTGAGGGGAGAGCTGCATTTTGAAAGCGACCCGCCCTGCATCCGTGAAGATCTTGTACACTTTTTAGACGAATGTGCGCTGCGCACGGGGCGAGGATCAAATTCTGAAACGACAAATGTGAGTGGTGCTGAGGCGCGAACCACATTTTGAAAACGATCCGCCCTCCATCCGATAAGTTGCTGCAAACTTCAAAACGCATGTGCACGGCGCCAAAGGCGAAAACCATATTAAAAACGACCCCCATTCATCCGTGAAGCTGTTGCAACTGTTAAGCTTCAGGATTAGACGTGGTGAGGAAGCCTGAGGCGAGGCCCCCTGCCCGCCCTACCGACCCATCTTGGGGTGCGACACGGAACAGTTTTTTGGGTTTATTATTATTATTATTAGTATTGTTATTATAATATATGTATATAACAAACAAACAGGGAATGGGGGATGTAGTCGGAGGAGGAGGACGGAGGAGGAGGAGGAGGAGGAGGAGGAGGAGGAGGAGGAGGAGGGTAATGAGGGAAACGGCAGGATGAGGATCATAAGGGTGCCCTCCGCCTATTCGATCTTTTCGATTCGCGGGCCCACGGAATTCTCGACCCCTCCTCGCGGGCAGTTTTCCATCCAGGGCTGTCGCGGAGGTCCCAGGGGTCGACCTCAATTGTGTTTTGGCGATTTCGTAAGCCGTTTTTATGTCGACTTCGTTTTGCAGCGAAGACGGAACGAAGACAAAAAACGAGGGAAAACGAAGACACAGCAAAAACGCAGAACACTGTTTTGCTCGAGCCCTGTCGCGGGGGTCCCCGGGGCTGGCAGCGGCGCCCGGCAGCCCCAGCCTTGGACACACACACACACACATTTCCTGTCGCGGTCGTGCCGCGTGGGGGTCGGAGATGTGGGCCTGGGTGGTCGACGAGCGGCCCCTGCTCGGCACCGCTCGGACGTGTGCATTTTTGTTCTGCGAGGCCAGGCGCCTGCAGCTCTGTCGATTCGATTCTGCTCCTGCGGCGCCTCCAGCGCCGCCTCTGGTGCGTTCCGCGCGCCAGGGAGGGGGCCCAGCGCAGATCCAAGAAATTTGGGCGGAGCGCCAAAAGTTTACGGTTTATGCCGTTTTTTCTTTGTCTAATCTTGGGCCATCGTGAGAGACAAGCGCGCGCGAAACCAAACAAGGCACGGGGAATGGACGTCCGAGCGACGGTAAGCCTGGACTTCTCCCATGGGTGCCGTCTGGCCAGCTTGTCGAGGCGGACCCGGCCGTGGCGACGAGAAGCCTGGGCGTGGCCCAGGAAAGGGCGAGATGTGCAACGGCACCTGGATCCTCGATCTTCGGGCGTCAGCACAGGTCGCCGGCGTCGTGATCTCTTCATAACACGGGCCCCCAAAGATGCCAGACCCCTTGTCCGCGGGACGGGTTTTGAAACCCCGGGCCGTTTTTGGGCAGCCCCCGCGCGCCAGGTCAGGGCCACGGGTGGCGGACAGCTGCAAAAACAATGCCCGTTTTTGGTTTCATTTATATTATATGTTGTATACATGTGTGTACATATTATGTGTGTACATTTATATTATTATACATCCATGCATATATAAGCTAGATGTGTATATAGATTCTGATTGGATGCAATTATATATGTGTGTGCGTGTGTGAAAATAATCATCGAGAGGAGGTGGGGGCGGAAGCCTCGCCCGCGCTTCCTCGTCGGGCGGGGGCCGGCAGGGGGAGGTGCGATAGCGCCCATCACTGAGGCGGACGACGAGGACGAGGACCGCGCGCGCGCCTGTCCGTGCGGCGTGCGCTCGTCCCCGCGTGTTGCCTGGAGCTCGTGGTAACGTGCGGGCTCGGGTGGCTCGAGAGCTGATGCTCAGAGGAGGGAAAATCACCGCTGCTCGTCCTGGCGAGTCCTCGTCGCCACGGCTGGATTCTCGTCGAGTCGAAGTGTGGGTCAGAACGCACCCCGGGAGGGGTCCAGTGAGTAGCGGTATGCGTACGTTACTTTCTGGTCCCCCCGAATGTGCTAGCCGCAATCCTGAGAACGCATTCGTTCGCGTTATCGGGGGGGGCGGGGTCGTGAGGTGAGGGGAGGGAAGGTTATGGCCAGGGGAGGCGGGGGGAGGAGTGGGGGAGGGGAGGGGGGAGGGGAGGGGAAGGGGCGGGTGGGGTAAAAGGGAAGGAGGGGAGGGGAAGAGACGCTTGTGTGCCTCGAATGCTTTGATCCTGATCGCTCGGGGAGCATCCCTTGCGCATAGGCGCTTGATACGACATGCCCAGTGGTACCCTCGTGTGCACACCCCGCCCGCCCGCTCGGGCTTCCTCGGCTCCTCGAGCACGCAAGTATCGAGCCATGGCCTGGCGTCCGAGAGCAGCGGCTGCGGCCTTCTGGTGCCGCGAACGCGGAAAGCCTCGCACCGCGAAGTATTATGAGTTGGGAGAAGATACCGGGGTCTGGCCGCGGATCAGCGGTATTCATTCCCTGCTTGCGCAAAGCGGGGCCTTGAGCCGAAATGGCTACAAAGGGACGGAGGAGGGGGAGCAGCAGGGGGAGGAGAAGCACGAGGAGGAGGAGGAGGAGAAGGAGGAGGAGGAGGAGGAGGAGGAGGAGGAGGAGGAGGAGGAGACAGAGGAGGATCGGATCGACTCGGCAGGAGGAAGTGTCAATCTAAGCAGCGCCGTCTGGGCCCACCCCTCTTTCGAGGGGGGGGGGGGGCAATGGTGGAGCTTGGAGCTCAACAACAGTTAGGGCAGTATTTATATCCCGCTCGGCCTGGCGGACAGTTGCCCCCCCGGGCCCCAACCCTCCACCCTGGCCATGGGAGGAAGGGGAGTGAGGAGGGAGGGTGGGGAGATAACGGATGGAGAAAGACGGAAAAGGATGGGATGTTGACGATGATATTGATGATGAAGATGATGATGATACTGATGATGCGGATGAAGATGCTGATGATGATGCTGATGATGATGAGGAGGACGGATGGTCATGATGATGATGATGTTGATGCTGATGCTGATGAACATGATGATGCTGATGATGATGCTGATGATGGGCATGATGATGCTGTGGATGATGATGCAGATGATGATGATGATGATGATGATGGTGATGATGCTGTTGATGCTGATGATGCTGATGATATTGCTGCTGCTCATGATGATGCTGATTCTGATGCTGATGCTGATGAACGTTATCATGATAATCATGACGAGGATGATGCTGCTGATGATGCTGATGATGATGGTGATGATGCCGTGGATGATGATGATGATGATGATGATGATGATGTTGTTGTTGTTGTTGTTGTCGATGATGAGGATGCCGATGATGATGATGATGATGATGATGATGATCCTGATGATGATGATGCTGATGCTGATGATGATGCTGATGATGATGACGACGAAGCTGCTGCTGATGCTGATGCTGATGCTGCTGATGATGATGAGGATGAGGATGAGGACCATGCTGATGCTGATGATGCTGATGATGCTGATGATGATGATGATGACGATGCTGATGGTGATGACTACGATGATGGTGAATCTGTTGATGCTGTTGATGATGATTATGATGATGCTGATTTTGATGATGATGATGATGATGATGATGATGATGATGATGCGGCCGCTGATGATTATGTTGATGATGATGATACCGATGCTGATGGTGATGCTGATGAGGATGCTGGTTGTAATGATGATGCTGCTGCTGATGATGATGACGCTGCTGATGTTGATGATGCTCATGACGATGGTGATGATGATGCTGATGATGCGGATGATGCTGATACTGGTCATCATGATCAAGATGCGGCTGATGAGGTGGCTGATGATGATGTTGCTGTTGATGATGATGATGATGATGATGATGATGATGATGATGAGTATGTTGAGGATACGGATGCTGATTATGTTTGCGATGGTACTGCTGCTGCTGCTGATGCTGATAATGATGATGATGATGATGATGATGATGGTGGTGGTGATGATGATGATGAAAACGATGATGCTGCTGATGATGCTGATGCTGATGTAGATGCTGATGCTGATGCTGCTGCTCATGATGATGATGCTGATGAGGATGCGGATGATGATGCTGATGCTGATGCTGATGCTGCTGCTGCTGATGATGATGATCATGATAATGATGATGATGATGCTGATGCTGATGATGATGATGATGATGATGATGCTGATCATGATGATGATTATGATAATGATGCTGATGATGATGATGATGATGATGATGCTGCTGATGATGATGATGATGATGATGATGATGATGATGATAATGCTGATGCTGAGGATGATGCTGATGCTGATGATGATGATGATGATTCTGATGCTGTTGCTGATGATGATGATGCTGATGATGATGATTATGATGATGCTGATGATGATGCTGATGATGCTGATGATGATGATGATGATGATGATGATGATGATGATGATGATGATGATGATGATGATGATGATCATGATCATGATCGGGATCGAGCTCGGTTCTAGCGCCGCGCGCGTCGAATGATGGGAACGAGCAAGGAGGCGGCCCAACGACCCAGACGAGCATCGCGGCCAGGGCGTCCTCTCCGCGCCTTAGTGGAGGAGACAAGCAACATGACAGTCGAACGCGGGCAGATCACGCGAGCAATAGCCATGCCAACACCTCATCTCCGACGACAAGGGCACGATGGGCAGGAATCCTGACCTTAGGATCGTCTGGGCGAAAACCTCGCAAGAACCGATTCAAACGATCACGCTTGTTCGGCTCGCGACGGAGTTGGGTATGATCGCAAGGCAGCAGCAGACCTCCACGAGCCGCGCCTCGCGAATAGGATCCACACGCCGTGCACGCCACGAACTCGCCTGCGACCCTGAGCCTATGCCCTCTGCACGCCTCAGGCGGCACGGGGCCGGACTCGGATAGAGGCGCAGCAGGTGGGGTTGCCGAATTCGCCCCAGGCTGCCCCCCCTCGAGTTCTTTTGGGACGGGGGGCCGCACTCCCTGGTGGGCCCGCAGGCCTGGCCCGTGGCCGACTGGGCGCGAGAGCTCATGGGAACCCGCCAACCGCAGGCGGTGGGAATCCAGCCGAATCCCCCACAGGGGTCTCCAGCGCAAGAGGTCCGGGGTGCGAACCAGCCGATTCCGAAGATACAGAATTCCGAGGCCGCACGGTGCGAGAAGAAGGAGCAAAGGCAGCAGAGGCAGGGCGCCTCTGACCGCGAGACGGCGCAGGGCCTCCTGGGAACTCCGCGACGGCCCCACACGAGCCAGGATCTGTCGCGAGAGCTCCAGAAGCGGATCCAGCCGACGGCCCAGAGGAAGAGAAAGGCACAGAAGCTGTCAGCGCCGCTCCCATCAGCGCCGCGGCAGCCACCATCGCCTGGAGGGCGGTGGACGTGGCCGGACTGCATTCCGCCGGCTCGATGTCCTCGGCGAAACGCAATCGTTTGCGAGGAGACCCCTTGGCAGCCTGGGGCAAAGAAAGACCGACTGAGGCACCCTCCCCCGCGCCTGGGGCTGCCGAACTCTGGCTCGCCAGCTCGCCATGCAGGCATCCTGGGGCGCCGCTGTAGGCCCTCCCCGTGGGCTCCAAAAGCTGGGGCCAGTTTCCGCCTCCAGGAACCCCCGGGGAGCAAAACAGGGGCGTGTTTTTGGGCAGCGCCGGGGGCTGCTGGGGCGGCCGCTGGGCGCGGGGGGGGGGAGGAGGAGGAAACTCAGAGGCCCGCTCGACCACATCACCCCGAGCGGCCTGGACCCGCGCTTTGAGCTCCCTCCCCCTGCACGTTTGGCGGAGCATGCGTGCTTTTCTAGCGCACCATGCGCATCGCCACCACGAGGCAACGAAGAACGGAGCATGAGCAGAGGCTGCCGTCACGCACGGCTCACCTCGGCGTCGCCCCAGCTGCCGCGTTCGCCGCCCTCGCGCACGCGGCGGCCGCGGATCACGATCTGGCGCTAAGGCCCCAGACTTCAGGCCGTCGTGCACCGCTGCCACCCAGCAGGCCGTCTGAGGAAGGTGTCGAAGGAGGACCTTGGACTCCGCCCTCTGCTGGTCCGTGAAGCAGTGGAGCCCCGATCCCAAGCGAGCGAGCGCGTCCGCCCAGTCGTTGCCAGTCCGATGTTGGTCGTTGCCGCTCTGGTGCGCACCCACGTGAATGATGCGAACGTCCGAGGAGAGGCCGCCGTGGTCATCCAACTTGGCCCACAGCTGCACCCACAGATCGCGATTCGAGCGTCTGGGGCAGCGTGCCCCCGCGCGCCCGCGCGCCAGGCCGAGGATAACCTCCAGGTGGTCCGTGTGGATGCAGAAGGGCGGAACGGCCACCAGCAGGACCTGCATGACCGCCCAGAGTTCGGCTCTGGACGAAGATTGGTCTGGTCCAGGCACCGCTCAGTGATATCCGCCGACGGCCTGGAAGTTCTCGAGGATGACGAAGCCCCAGTCCGCTCTCGCAGCCTGCGGGCGGCTCCAATGCTTCAGGCAGGAGCCGTCGGCGTAGATGAGGCCTGTGACCATGAAGCCTGGGGCGGCTAGCAGTGCGTGCCTGCGGCCGGTGTCGTCGCGGGGAGGGAGAACAGGTAGCGAGGGCAGTGGAACCAACAGTCGCGCCCAGCGCGGATCGTTCTGCATGATGCGTGGGAGCCCGATGATCAGGGCCTCGTCCCAGGCCAACTCCCGCTCGGGCTGGCACGGCTCGCACTGCCAGTAACGGTGAAGGGATGTACCAGGGGCGGCCCAACACCGTCGACATAGCCCGTCGGCTGCGTAGCCGTACCTGTGCAGTCTAGCCTGGGACCAAGTGGCACCCGCAACGAGAGACCTGACGGCGCCGGCGCCCGATTCAGTGAGCCTCCAGCGGGTAGTGGGCCTTTGAAGTAGCGCCGCCAGTGGCTCCAGCCAGTAGCCCTGCGGCTGCCAGCGCACTGGGCCGAGCTCAGGCGCGGGGTTGGGCGTGACAGCCAAGCGCCGCCGAATGGCGCGCACGGCGGACTGCCTCGCCAGCTGCTGGACTGTGGAAGGGGCCGCGACGCGTAGGTCCAACACGTCGCCTTCGTCCGTGCGCCATGCGAAGGCGGAGGACGCGACCCAACCCAGGTCTCTCAGCGCCAGGCGTACCGCGCCAGCAGGGCCCATGACCTTGCGCCAGGGGCGGGAAGCCAGAAGGACAGAAGGGGCCTGGCGCTGCAATGCTCGCTGCATGACCGAGTTGTCCATCCTCGGGTCCACAGCCATCAGCGCCTAATTGAACTAGGGCTGCGTCCACGCCGCAAGCTGCGGTTCAGCGTGGGCCCCTGGTTCCAGGCAGGCTGCCAGCCAAGTCGGAGAAACCGCCGCCAGCTGGCCCCAGCACTGCCGGAGCATGCGCCGCATCATGGTGACCAAGGTCGGCGGAGCCCCCGTGACAGGCAGGCCGTACTGGAGAGCTGCAGGAAGCGAAGCACGCGTCAAACGGCCCAACTGCGCGCCTAGGCCTCGAAGTCGCCGGAAGCGTGGCAGCCTGGCGCGGACCCGCCGTGCTCGCTTGTGCAGCGAGGAGAAGCGGAGCGGTCTGCCAGGGCGGGCCTCCACGCCCAGGATCTCCAACGCCTGGCAAGCTCGGAAACCGTGGCGCCGCAGGCGGCGAGCGACCTCGCGCGCGACCTGCATCCGTGAAGACGTGGCCTGGGCCTGATGATAATGATGATGATGATGATGATGATGATGATGATGATGATGATGATGATGATGATGATGATGATGATGATGATGATGAAAGATGATGATGATGCTGATGATGATGATGATGATGACGATGATGACGATGTTGATGTTGATGTTGATGCTGATGACGATGGTGATGATGATGCTGGTGACGATGATGTTGTTGATGCTGCTGCTAATGATATTGCTGATGATGCTGATGATGCTGATTATGATGATGATGATGACGACGATGATGCTTATAACTATTATGCTGCTGCTGATGATGATGCTGCTGATGATGATGCTGTTGCTGATGCGGTTGGCGATTATGATGATGATGATGACGATGTTGATGTTGATGCTGATGACGATGGTGATGATGATGCTGGTGACGATGATGTTGTTGATGCTGCTGCTAATGATAATGCTGATGATGCTGATGATGCTGATTATGATGATGATGATGATGACGACGATGATGCTTATAACTATTATGCTGCTGCTGATGATGATGCTGCTGATGATGATGCTGTTGCTGATGCGGTTGGCGATGATGATGATGATGATGATGATGATGATGATGATGATGATGTGGATTCGTGACGATCGTGATCCTGCTGCTGCTGATGATGTTGATGCTGATGCTGCTGATGATGATGATGATAAAAGCTGATGATGCTGATGATGATGTTGATAATGATTACTGTGATGCTGATGCTGATGCTGCTGATGATGAGGAGGAGGAACAGGATGAGGATGAGGATGCGGATGCGCATGCGGATGAGGATTAGGGGATTAGGATCATAATGAGGATGCGCGTGAGGGTGAGGGTGAGGATGATGATGCGGATGCGGATGAGGATGAGGATACTGATTATGATGATGTTTATCCACGACAACGAAGATGCTGCTGATGATGATGACGATGATGGTGCTGCTGTTGCTGATGGTGATGAGGGTGATGTTTTCTGATGCTGATGCTGGTGATGATTCTGCTTATGCTGATGATGCTGATGATGTTGATGCTGACGACGACGATGCTTCTGATGCTGATGCTGATGAGGATGCGGATGAGGATGATGACGACGATGACGATGATGATGACGACGATGACAGTGATGATGACGATGATGATCATCATGATGATGAATGATGATTGTGATGCTGATTCTGCTGATGCTGCTGCTGCTGCTGATGCTGATTCTGATGAACATGATGATGACGATGATGATGCTGATGATGCTGCTGATGATGGTGATGATGATGCTGTGGATGATGATGATGATGATGGTGATGATGCTGTGGATGATGATGATGATGCTGATGATGATGATGATGATGATGATGATGATGATGATGCTGATGATGATGATGATGATGATGATCATCATGGTGGTGATGTGATGATGATGATGCTGATGCTGATGCTGATGCTGCTGATGATGGTTATTGTGGTGGTGATGGTGATGCTGAACAGATTTTGACGACTTTTTCCATGGAAGTGATGATGATGCTGCTGCTGCTGATGATGATGATGATGATGATGCTGCCGCTGCTGCTGCTGCTGATGATGATGATGATGATGATGATGATGATGATGATGATGACGATGATGATGATGATTGTGATTTTGATGAGGATGCTCTTATGATGATGCAATGCTTTTGCTTTGTATGCAATGCTTTTGCGGATCTTGCTCTGAGGAGGAGGATGATGATGATGAGGAGGAGGAGCAGGAGGAGGAGGAGGAGGAGGAGGAGGAGGAGGAGGAGCAGGAGGGCGACGGAAGAGGAGAGTGAGCGAGGAGGGCGAATATGGATGAGATGGGAAGAAGAGAGGATGAGGACGGAAGGGGGGGTGAGTGGGAGGAGGATGGGAGGGGGAATGGGAG